CTCTCTCTCTGTGTCTCTCTCTCAAACACTTCACTTCTTGTCAATAGTGTCTTTCATCTCCAGCCCAGCCATGATTACAGTGGCCCAGATGACGATGCTGTTGCCTGTCTCATCAGGACAATACAGCTACTGTTAGCCTCTTAGATACACACACACAGGCACAAAATGTGAACACACAACACACACGTACAGTATGTGAAAAAAAGCATTTTTTACACACACAGATTTTACTGACTTCACTACCCAACACACACACACACACAAGCACACAGACACACACTCATAACTGACATAAAACAGACTTGCCCACACACACTCATGCACCACCCATGCACTTGTCCCATAGATCAACACAAGAATGTACACACCACTGAATAAAAACAGTACAGGAAATTAAACTTACTGTACTAAGTGATATGTTAAGATGGCTATTTTTACAGTATTCTCATGTCACCTTCTCTGATGTAGTAGTTTATAAATTCTATAAATAAGTCAAAATTATGCAGCACACATGGCCATATAGCTTTAGTGGCCAGTGCAGCTGAGAGCTGACGATGTCAGGAGCTATTTGACTAAACTGGGACAAAGAGATGAGAGGAAAGAAGAAGACAGCCGCGAATTGAAAAACAAGTTTTTGATTTAAAAGTGTCCGAATTAGATCAAAAGGAAAACAACAGTTGAGTTTATGGATGAAGAAACTGGTTAGAAAAGTAGCTGTTGGCACACACAAAGATGGAAAGGAGTAAAAAAAGACAGGAAAATGAGAGAATATTTTAATGGGGTACAAACTTTCTTCCTGCTGTGCATCCAAACAGTCCAATAACTCATGTTAGAATTATGTAGTTATTAAATTGTTGGTATTCTTACCAAAATCCCTCCATTTATTGTATATGATCAAATCAATTATAGATAAATTAGGTTCATGGATACCACTGTATTGGTGCTACAGTATATTTTGATACCATTACTTAAGCTTCTAAAGTAATATAAAACATTATTTTGCCTATCCAAGCTTCTCCATTAAACATCTTTGAAAGCATCTCTAACCAGAAAAATGTGAGAAAATGTTATCACTACATATATCATACATAATTTTCCTCAAACTGATCAGCATCGTATCTGATCAAAGAAAACCTTGAATTAGCCGGGCCTTCACTCCCGTGAGTGTGTGTGTATGTCAGAGCCATCCTGAAGCCCACCTGCCACATCAGATGAAGCTGTAGAAGCGTTCAGGTCTATCCTGTGCTGATTTATTGCTGTTGGCACATCGATTGCACACACAGCCACAGACCTTGGCCAAACACTTAGGCAAATTTATACACACCACTTCTTTAGCATGGAGCTCACATCCATGCCTGCTGGCCTTACTCTGTGTGAGTCTGTGCGTTTCTCTATGTGCATGTGTGCACGTGTGTGTGTGTGTGTGTGTGTGTGTGTGTGCATCCTGCGTCTGTACAATCTTATTTACTACTAAAAACACACACAGACACACATCCAAACATATCGGGCTATACATAAACTGTTTGTACACAAAGCATGTATAATGGCAGTGTACTGTACAGTACAAACCACTGGAAAAGTATAAACATTTACATTTCTACCCTTTCCATTTTAAAAACATTTCTTCTGGATGAAGTGCAGTGGAGAGAGAAAATGTGGGGAACATAAACTGGAATTGAACCACTTGGTACCAGGTTTGGATTTCTATCTTTAATCTTCAGTATAATCACTTTTTTCACAGCTCAAACCACTGATGACGCTGAACCTAGCAGCAGCAGTACCTTGGTGTGTGTAACACCAGTTGGGTTTTATTTACCTCATGCTAAAAAGTTCAAGCTATTTTGCACCTTGTTTGCTGTCGACCTGTGTGTACTACTTCAAATATGGAGAAATTGTGTCTCAGAGATAAAAATATATGTGTATTAGCTTTTCTTTAGCCTTGAGATAGGTTCTCTGGAGCCCGCATCCAACCCAACAGTGAGTACCTCTCAGACTGCTGATCATGTGAAGGCAGCCCTACAGGTTATATACATGATCTGCATTATGAACTGACTACAATGTAGAACATAAAGCACAGTGTAAAGGCAAAGTATAGCTTACTTTTATGTCTTAAGCAATGAAATATTAGATTTTTGATAACCGATAGTTTTCAGTTTCAGTTCGGTTTCAGTCATTTTTCAAGCCAAAAACATTGTTGGCTCCAGGTTGTCAAAAATGGGGATTTTAAGCTTTTATGTGTCATGTGGCAAAGAAACTGAACATTTGAGCATTTGGAAAATCTAAATGTGCATTTTCACAATGTTAAATTATTGTCAGATGCAGACCTATTGACATCAACAACAGGGTAAACATGAACAACAAAACAAGCCTAGCAAAGGCCATTTGTCAATTATCTATTTTGGTTTAACACAAAAGAAGGAAGACTTTGGGTTAATGAAACCTTTTTTTTCCCTTTTTGTCCATCATGGGCTGCTTTCATGCTCCATCATGGACAGCTGTCATTGGCTGTGCTGCTTAAAATGTAATCAACCAACAAGGTCAGAGTTAAAACAGATTTTGAGCAAAGGGGCGAGGTGTAAAATTAAAGTGGCACATTGTGCTTGAGGTACCGCTGCTGCTGCTGCTATGTTTAGCAGCTTTGCTCTCTGATTTTGCCGGTGATCGTGTTTACAGAGCCTTAGGTATGTGAGTCAACAAAAACTGCTAGCTTTAAAACCTTGGAATACATGTTAGGTGCTTTTTATACTCTAACAAGCAGCAACATCCTCTTTACTGGGAATACCATGTCACAGACTTTCACAACATTCATCAATCAAGCCACTATTATTACAGTAATATCCCTTGATTCAAAAGGTTGGCATTGGAAAATGTGGAATTTGATCATTTTTAAACTCTAGTTTCCCCAAAGTCCCCAATGGAACTACATCACACTAAAACTGTTCTTTTGTTCTGTTTTGATTTTGTTCAGGTTTACCCATACTTATATATATATATATATATATATATATATACACATACAATTTAAAAACAATATAAAAAGGTGTGTACGTAAATGATGTCTCAGCCAAGAAACAGCACATTTAATGCAGCAACAGAGTCAAAGACGTTATTTTCCAAAGGAAATGCAGTCATCTCTGAAACCTCTTCATCTTGTCTTTACAGGGCACATTTTACTACTTCAAAGTGTCCCGTGGAGCTTTTGACCTCTAATAGTGGTCAAAAGTTCTATGAGTGGGTGCCTGTGTTGTTTTTTTGCTGCAGGCG